ATTAAGGAAAACGCTTTTAAATTATTACTAAACTTAGATGATGAATTATTCTATTTATTTACACTACTGTCTATATATCACTATTCACTGCGCTATTTAATTTCACTGCTATCACTGTCAATTTATTTCTTCTTCTTCATTTCTACAGCGGTCAATTTATTTCTTCTGTCTCTCGGCGATCGTCTCTTCCTTTAAATACTCTTTTGTTTCCGTTCGGGAAACTTCTCGAACCGTCCGGAAAAGTTTCTTTTCCTATGAACTGTTTAATTTCTTTTCCAGAACGCAGATACGACACACACATTTACAAATACGGCGCACATGAAGAAAGGCGCCCGCGGCTTGTCGGCGTATCGATAAGCCGTTCACACACACGTATGTCCGATCGCACACAAACACGCTCGTGCTCGCTACAGTATGTATTTTTGTGTGTGCAAAATGTATCAACAACAAACACTGATGGTTCGAACTGTACGTACGTACACACCATCTAGCATACCATTCAACTATACGTACACATTTATGTACATATGATTCAAAGCCAACGGTAGCGTTGCTGGCAGCTGTATGTATGTATGTATGTATGTATGTATGTATGTATGTATGTATGTATGTATGTATGTATGTATGTATGTATGTATGTATGTATGTATGTATGTATGTATGTATGTATGTATGTATGTATGTATGTATGTATGTATGTANAGAAAGAAATTATATATACATAATAAAACCTACTTATTACATATTAAATGGTACTAGGACCTAAGATACTAATGATCAAACAATGTTTTAATTATAAATCGTAAAACTTCACAAACAGGGGTCATGACACAGATTAAAGTCTTTTCGGTGACCAATCCGGGTCATTTTCACTTTTTTCACTAATGTAGTCTTTTATTTCGGATAACCGAACACTCGGAGTTACTGTCAAATTCGGGGCCGAGGCGACCAATTTTTTTTCGAATCGGTCCAACGGGGTCGTTTCCTCGTATCGAGGTGGTAATGGCTTCCTTGCGGACACACGCTGTATGTTGATTATCTTAGTGCAATGACTGCCGCAATCGAGCCATCTGGGTCGGATTAACTTCAAGCAATTAGGACAGCAACAACAGCAGAGTAGGAGAGTGATCGTAATGCTGACCAAAATGGATAAAAGAGCGTGCCACCATCATAGTCCGAGTATTTTCGTAACAGGCTTCAATTGCTCCTTGTAGATATCCAACTGTCCAATTTGTGTTTATTCATAATGAGCTCCTCCTGGTTGAGGGCATGAACAGGCAGAGCATGGATAGGCAAGAGTGGAGGTGCGTGTTCAACCAGTCTTAGGACTTTTGGGACCTTATGATGATGATGATGATGTTGTAGGGGTCCCAAAGGCATAATTACCATGCCACCGAGCGCAGGTCATAAGAAGGCTCACAAGAGCACTATGCATATATGCTAATATCCAAATCCAAACCGTACTAGGAAAAAACTTGCAACTTGCTATTAAACTCAAGCTAGTCAAACAAATTCACCTGTGACGGTAAATTCACAAGATTCGCCGATTGGAAATTTATCCATCCGGCAAGACTCAACACTCTCCTCCTAAACGGCGCTAAACAATGGGCTCGCAACGACAAACGCTGTAGAAGATGCGAATACGTAGGGTAAACACTCCCCCATGTACTATGCTACTCAAACGCCTGAAAACACAGCCATCCTAACAAGAATTTCGAAGGTCAGCAACATCGAAGGAACAAGGAGCACAGACAACAGAATAGAAGGATTGCATGTACATCTCGGCACGTTAAGACCTGATTTAGTTATTCTAAACAACAACAACTACATCATCATTGACCTCACCATCACCTTTGAGAATGGAACCGATACATTTCAACCGGCCAGAAATGAAAAATTTCAATTTCAAATATCAGTCCATCGCTGAATTTCTGACCAGCCGGTGTTGTACCGTACAATAACTACACCAAGACGAATCACCAACTTAACTAACTCTTTCAATACGATAGCTACTGTGCCCACATGGCTAGGACTAACTAGTGCAATACAGCATTACATACATAATAATGACATGTATCATTAAGTTAACATGTAACATTGTAATACATATATACTTATTTGCGCTAACTTAATTGAGTGGATGTTCGTACGCATGTGCCCAGGGCCGGACAAAGAACATTTAGCGTCGTATCTTGCCAACATCATTTTCGGTGGTGGTTCCCGATCATCGGTTGCGACGGCTTTTTTTTTTGGCTGGCAGTTGTCCACCTGTACCCTCCTGAGATGCGAGCAGACAGGACATTTATTTAGGGAGTGTGAGGAACCAATAAGGTGTAGGAACAGTACAAAGAAAGGGGATAGAGGGGATCACAGTGTAGTAAGTCAAGAGCGTCCATATTTTAGAGCTGCGGTGGAAAGGGTGCAACTAAAATAATCATACAGTTAATGGATAATACACCTCTAAAAATAATTCAACTGAATTGTCAAAGATCAATGGCGGTGACAATAGAATTGGGACATACTATGAGGGAGATGAGGGTGAATGCGGCGTTGGTTCAGGAACCTTATGTTAGGGAAGGAGTAGTTTTTGGTTTACCGTCGGACATGCGGGTAATAACTCTAGGAAAAGAGCCTGAGGCGGCCGTGATCATTGATATAGGTTACGATGTTTTTGCTTACAATGAACACTCCAACGAGACCTGTGGTTGTATTTCGCTATCGTCGAAATCGGATACAACTGGACTTGTCAGTGTATATTGTCAGTTTGGACAGGAATTATATCCCTATCTTACCATGATGGAGAATATTCTTGATAACATACATGATAAAAGCATACTCTTGGGGCAAGATGCTACTGCTGTGTCTCCTATGTGGCACAGTAAGATTAATGTCAGAGCATCAAGAAACAGCAAGTTACGCGGTGTAATTTTAGAAGAATTTGTTATAGCAAAGGACCTGGCTGTACTCAATACCCCTGCATCTGAATATACCTTCAGTAGTTCCAACGGTGAATCAGATATTGATGTAACACTCGCTAACCAACAAACTGTAGACAAGTATAACGTGTCTTGGGAAGTATGCGCTGATTCAAGTCCAAGTGACCACAACGCACTTTTCATTACCCTATCTAGTAGAGTAACTAGCCCAATGCTTAAAAATATAGATGAGACGAAAGCGTAGGTACTTAAAGATGTTGATTGGCACACCTATAGCGGAATTTTACAAACTATGATTGAAGAGTTTTCTTTATATCATTATAACAGTATGTCGGCGGAAGAAAAGTGGGGATATGTATGTGATTATTCCCGTGGTACTAAAAGTATAACTTTATAATAATCTTTGAAAGAATAAACGTTAAAACTTAGCAGCTCTCTTATTGAGAAAAGCACACTGTACATTGGTCCTTCGAGCCGGACAGGGTAGTGATAACGGCTATACTTCCGGCAAATACAATGCTAGGTGACCGTGGGAAAAATCGAAAAATTCGAATTGTCTTCAGAGTGCGGCGACGAAATCGATAAGCAGACCGACTGAAGAGTGTGCAGGCGGGGGAGAACTAGAGGCAGGAAGCAGGGAAATTGGGAACTCTGGAAAGGTTAGTGAGCATCCCTTTTTCTAACTGTCCTTTGCTTATCTAAGTGTGACAGCTTTGCTTGAACTTAAATTGTACGTTGTACTGATAAATTAAAATGTCGTTGGCGGAATTGAAGAAGTTGCTCGTTAAGCGTTCTCATTTAGAGGGAAAATTTAATAATATCGGACTATTTGTGCAACAATTCGATTCGTTTAAGCACGATATCAACGATATTCAGGTTCGCTTGGCGGAAATGCCTAAAATTCGAGACGATTACGAAGCGGTAATCTTTGAGATAGTCAGATTTGAAATCGAGGACGAATCTATGTCGGAACAAAAACAGGATCCGAATCCTACAGAATCGATAGGAGAAAACGAAATGTCGGCTCTAAACAAATTCGATACTGATTGGTTGAAAATTATGAGCGACCTCCAAAGGATTTTTTAAAGGTTGTCAGTGGCACCTAGTGCAAACGTGCCCGTGGCGGGTTCTGTTCAGGCGTCAAATCCTAGTCAGTTTAATGTGAGACTTCCACGAATCAATTTACCTCGATTTTCGGGAGAATGTACGGAATGGTTACTATTTTACAATGCGTTTGACAGCCTCATTCATAATAACAATACGTTAGACGACTCTCAAAAGTTTCATTACTTAAAATACTACAAAAGAGATATAAAAATGCTAGGCTGATAGTACAGTCACGTAAATTCGATTCTAAATACGCCCGAATTATCGAAGTCATCGGCGGAGGGCTTGAGCAAATTAGTGAACGACATTTCTGTGAATTCAGAGGCATTAAAGGTAATGCACATTCAAGTAGATCCTTGGGATGCTTTTCTTATATAGTCGTATAGATTATATTATCAGTCGAGGAAGGAACTCTCACGTTGTTACGACGAGATTAACTTGTAGATATTGCGACAAAAGACATTTTGTAAACCAATGCGGAGATTTCTCCCGTTTAAATATCGGCAATAGCATCAAGGAGGTAAAGAATAAGAATCTTTGTCTTAACTGCTTGAGGAAAAATCATACGACAAACGCGTGTAGAGCAAAAGGTTGCAGCATATGTAAAGCACGCACACATCATACATTACTACATGATAGGAGCGCTAAGAATAGTTCGGAATCTAATTCCCCGAATCACGGCTTTGCTAACAAATCAAAACCGGAAACCAAGGTTAATGCTACAGTAAATCACTTTAAATCAAAAGTTGGATAAAAGATTGTGATGGTCAATACCAAGAATGTCGCTCGCGTTTAGACGTCGGATCGCAAATAAATTTAATGTCGACAGCTACATGAAAACGACTGGGCCTAAACCCGACAAACACGACTATTTCCGTATCGGGAGTTAATCACACGTACACCAAAATTTCAAAATCAGTCGAAATATGGATCAGGTCGTCTGATTCCAAATTTAAAATGCCCATTACTTGTATCACAGAACGTGTAACTTCAAATTTGCCCATCGTTTCATTCAATACCGAAAACCTTTCCATTCCGTCAGACATCTGTTTAGCGAATCCAGATTTCAACAAAAGTCGTCCTGTTGATTTATTATTAGGGGCTGAAGTATTTTGGGATTTATTGTGCGACGATCGCAGGAGACTGTCGAATCCTAGCTTGTTCCTTACAAAAACATTGTTAGGTTGGGTAGTTGGGGGAGCATCTTATAATTTAGAGAGTTCGGGACGATCCGGAAATCGAGTCGCGAACCTGGCCATAAAGGATGAAAGCGACGAGCTTCAAAGAGTCATGGAAAAATTCTGGATTCAGGAAGAAATCCCGGAATCCAAGAAAAAGTGGTTCAAAGAGGAAATAGAATGTGAAGAACAGTTTAGAAACACGTACATGCGTGATCCATCGGAAGGTAGATTTGTCGTGAAGTTACCATTCAAGAAAGGAAACGTAGAATTACGTGACTCAAGCGGAGTTGCGCTCAGAAGGTTCTTGTCATTGGAAAGGAGATTCAAAAGGGATCGTAAACTCAAAGATTTGTACGCCATGCAAGAGCTCATTCAGTCGAATATCGTGGAAAGAGCACCAGAAGGTGAAGTCGCTCATAATACCACTTACTATTTGCCACATTCGGGCATAGTAAAAGAAGCCAGACAAAAGGTAAAGATACGAATAGTGTATGATGGTTGGGCAAAGTCGACCAACAGGTTGAGTCTAAACGACAATTTGATGACGGGCCCTAATTTGCAAACAGAATTATTTTCTCTGCTCATACGCTTCAAGATGCATCAAATTGCCTTCTCATTCGACTTGGAGAAAATGTTTCTACAGGCCAAAATAAATCCTGAAGACACGAATTATCAGAGATTTTTCTGGTAAAATTCCGAAAGTGAATCAGTTCAAATTTACCGCATGACAAGGCTGGTCTTTGGCTTAACAAACTCCCCATTTACAGCCATGAGGTGTGTAAGGCAGTTAGCCACGGACTCGGCGGAAAGTTGCAAGTAATCCAACTGAGAAGAGTAGTTTTGTTGTTCCGAACATCCAACCAGTGATGCTGACTGGTACTACGGGAGGTCCGGGTGCCCCAGGCAGGGATCTTTCCTGTCTGCCCGGGTGACCAGAGGTTGGACTCGTAGTGACAGTGGTAACGGATGAGCTGCGTTCCGCTCAGGTACCAAGCCTACTAAGCTTGGTAGGGATTAGATAGGTCCCGCCCGCACCAGAGGGTTCCAGATGGTCTTGCTAACCACATGGAAGGACCTGGTAACGGTGACAGTCATCGCCCGCTGATTGAGGGTATCTCAATCCCGCTCCCCTGAGGGCCGTGGTGGATATGCTATTAAGTAGGAATCACCACGTTAAATTAAATAAATTAGGGTTCATCCCTTGGTACGTCATGTACCCTCCTGCGAGGAAACCTGCAAAAAATAATAACCAATGAATCGTTTTGATGGAACGCTGCAGTCTACTTCCTTCTGTGCTGCCATCCGCGTATGCTAGTCTAATTGTCCGGTGTTGTTGTCGAATCCTCCTTGCTCACGCTACCAATGTAAGGTGTGGGCAAAGAGATTTTCTCGACACTCGTGCATTATATTCTAGCGAGCACGAGGATGTTTGTGTGCAATCGGGCATATTTATGTGTGAGCGGCTTATCGAATCGCCGACTAGCCGCGGGCGCCTTTCTTCATGTGCGCCGTATCTGTAAACGTATGTGTCATACCTGCGTTCCGGGAAAGAAATGAAAGACTTCAAAGAAGACGAAACTTTTCCGGACGGCTCGAGAAAGTTCCAGAAAGGACACAAAAGAGTATATAAAGGAAGAAACGATCGCCGAGAGGAGGAGAAATAAATTGACCGTTGTAGAAGTGAAGAGTAGAAATAAATTGACCGTTGCAGAAGTAAATCAAGAAATAAATTGACAATGATAGAAGTGAATAGAACAGTTAATAGTAACAGTAGTGTAAATAAATAGAATAATTACCTAAGTAAAGTAAATAATTAAATAGTGTTTCGAAGTTCAACAATAATTAGTGCAAATAAAAAGTTTTCTTCTTAAAAGTTAATTTGTTAAACCCACGAACATAATAATTGGTGTCAGGTGTGGGGTTGAGTAAAAGACATTACAATTGCAAAGAAGTTGTACGAATTAAAAGTGAGTTAAGAAGAGAATTGGAGGAACGGGACGAAGCGACTTGCGGTAACAAAGAGGAACTTCAGTGGCGGCTCGCGGATGCGTTGAAAAGGGATGGCCATGATCCTAAAACGTTCCTTTTCGAAGGCGAATTGTCGCAAATGATGAAAAGTTTGGAAAATAAATTGGAAGAAAATAGTAAAAGTATGAAACATGAATTGGCACAAAACAGTAGAAGTTTGGAAAATAAATGGGAAGAAAAATTTAATAAAATATCTAAGAAACAGAAGAGAAGATAAAAGTGGTGGAAGAATTGATCTTTAAAGCAAAAACAAAAACAATCGAAGGGGATGTTGGCGCATCTAGTACACTCAACGAAGCCAGCCAAGGAAGCGGTATAGAGTCAAGAACATGAGTAAAACCACCAACGTTTGACGGGAAGTCCTCATGAATCACATACCACAAACAATTCGAGGCGGCTGCTAGGGCGAATGACTGGGCGCCTGAAGAAAAAGGCATTGCGTTGACCGTTGCGCTTCGTGGAGATGCACGTGACATTTTGAACACCCTTTCCCCGAAAGAATTGGCGGATTATGACCAGTTGGTAAAACGGTTGGAGTTGCGCTACCGCGAGGCTCATTTAACAGCGATGTATCACATCCAACTGAAAACCCGTCAGTAGAAACCAACAGAATCCCTACAAGAATTTGAGGTCGATATTGCGAGACTGTCTCGACTGGCTTATCGTAATACTCCAGAAGAATTTATGGAAAGGTTGGCAGTGGAGGCATTTACTAATGGACTTCGGAACAGTGACATTCAACAACGAATACGCCTTGACCGACCTAAGACGCTAGCGGATGCATTGGCTCGTGCATTGGAGTACGAAACTGTTAAACGGGCGTATAGCAAACAGTGTGAAGAAACGGATTCGTCAGAATCTTTAGAAGAAACCGTGCGCCGAATCATCTCCAAGTTCGATAGAGAAACTCAAAAGCTAAGATTTTGGAATTGCGGCGAACTAGGTCACACGAGGAGGCAGTGTAAGAAAAGTACTCCTTCCCCAAGTACTCGACGTCAAACAGACTGCAAGCAGTATGATCGAATGGAAAAGAACGAAGAGGCAATTCGACGCGTCACGGTAATCGATGACAAGTGGTCACCTGAAAATATAAAACACGACCAGGAAAATGACCAGGACTTGAAGAAGGTGATGGAATGGAAAAGAGACGGAAATCGGCCAACGTGGCAGCAAGTTTCTTCCTGTACCCAAGTACTAAAATCGTTATGGGCTCAGTGGGATTTTGGAGGATGGCATCCTGTAGCGTGTTGTTGAAAGTCCAGATGGAGAGGAAGACAGAAAGCAACTGTCATTCCTCGAAACTAGGTTAGAGAGGTTTTGCAGTATCTTCATGATGGATCATCTGGTGACCATTTTGGAGTGAATAAGACGCTTGGGAAAGTTCGAGAGTGATTTTATTGGGTGGACTGTAAGGAGGATGTCAAGAATTGGTGTAAGAAGTGTACCACCTGTGCCGCGAGTAATGGACCACAGAAAAGGCCAAGGGCGCCAATGCGTCAATACAATGTCGGTGACCACTTCGAACGTATCGCAATTGATGTGGTAGGTCCACTCCCAGAGTCCGAGAAAGGTAACAAGTACATCGTGGTCCTTATGGACTATTTTACCATATATAGGTTATGCCCTTCCGAACCATGAGTCGGAGACCATAGTTGAGGAGCTGGTGAAGGAATTGATCAGTCGTTTTGGGGTGCCCTTGGAGTTGCACTCAGACCAAGGGAGGAATTTCGAATCGGCTATATTCCGTGGAATATGCGAGCTCCTGGGAATAAAGAAAACTCGAACTACTCCAATCCATCCGCAATCGGACAGCATGGTTGAACGAATGAGCCGAACCTTGATTAAATATCTCTCCAAGGTAGTGTCTGATCACCAAAAAGACTGGGACCACTATTTGCCTTTATTTTTAATGGCATATCGTTGTTCTGTCCACGAAACGACAGGCCAAACACCTGCCAGTGTCCTTTTTGGAAGGGAGTTACGACTACCTTGTGACCTCAAATACGGCTGTAAACCTGGAGACGACTTGGATGGAGAAGGCGAGAACTGCAGATTCCGGCATGATCCTGCGAAATGGAAAGTGAAAATGTTTCGGGACGAAACATTCTTAAGGAGGGGGGCAGTACAGCGAGCACGAGGGTGTTTGTGTGCGATCGGGCATACGTGTGTGTGAGCGGCTTATGGAGTCGCCGACTAGCCGTGGGCGCCTTTTTTCATGTGTACCGTATCTGTAAACGTGTGTGCCGTACCTGCGTTCCGAGAAAGCAATTAAACAGTTCGAAGAAAACGAAACTTTTCCGGACGGCTCGAGAAAGTTCCAGAAAGGACCCAAAAGAGTATATGAAGGAAGAGACGATCGCCGAGAGGAGGAGAAATAAATTGACCGTTGCAGAAGTAAATCAAGAAATAAATTGACAGTGATAGGTGTTAATAAAACAGTTAATAGTAACAGTAGTGTAAGTAAATAGAATAATGACCATAAAATAGTAAACAATTAAATAGTGTTTTTAAGTTCAACAATAATTAGTGTAAATAAATAGTTTTCTTCTTAAAAATTAATTTGTTAAACCACGAACATTACAATATGTTACATTTGACTGCTTTCATAGCACAATATTTGTTCCTTCCTATCCAACCATACATTCTTTATTTCGTAAAGTATAATTGTCACCCTTCCTCTTCATTGCGCTCACCAACCAAAGACTTTTCCCACAATAAGGACTCTCATGCACAATATTCCACTGCATTCCTTACCCGCCTCTTGTCCCTCCCTTTGCAGTTTTCCATTTTCTTCACATTTCCTCTCATTAGCAGTACTACTAAATCTAAAATACAATTTACGTCATTTCTCCAACAATCCCGTCAAAATTACCATGTGTATTACAGTTCCTCTTCATCCCTTCAAACTTCCCACTTACGCCACATTTAAGCTGAACAAAAAAAGTATTAACGTCTACAATACAATAATTTCCGTAATTTCCCAACAAAACCCGCAAAAATACCTATGTGAACTACACTTTACCTACAATAAATCTAATATTAGAACATGAAGTTTCATATACAAGCGAAAATAAATAGCGTATGTAATCTAATAAAACTACGACTGTAGAAACTATAGGGCATGTAATGGCACATATAACAGTTCATGTTCACGTAACAAGTGAAGTTTCCATCCATGTCGTAGATAATACTTGTCAAATATTCAATTTACTAATCGGTCGCCCTTTTACGAAATCAGAATATTTATGTCATTAAATCGACAAATTGAACTTCTATGAAGAAAATGATGTTATGTCCTGTCAAGCAATAGAACCCAACAAAAAAGTATCCGTGCAATACTATAGAACAGTTACTATTGTACAGGGTGTTAATCAGAGCGGAAATTTCAGATGGATTATTAACCTCTAATCCGTCGGAACACTCATAATGGTACATCCCTCATTATTCCCCAGAAACCAGACGAATTTCAAAACTATTTGGGAATAGTACTAAGACGTAACGTACCGTGAAGCGCGTATGGTCTCTGGCCGTAGAACAATCCAATCGCTTAGATAATCTTCTGCAGACGTACTGACATTGGTTTGTAACAAACACATCCGAACTGGGAAACACCTCTGTGAAAATGATAATAAGACTAACCAGCTTTACTTCTATGTTACAGACCATACAGACTTACTTTTCATCAGCGACAAATAGTGCAAGGTATTCTCAATGACCTTTTCAAGAATGACGTGTCATCGATCCAACTGTTTCTGATTACACAAACACTATATTACTCGTTAAATGGTCACGGCATCTAGCAAATCCCTAAATGTAAAGTCTACAATAATAGAAAAGTTAAATGAGGAACTAATCAAACTAGATTTAAACACAAAGGAAAACTTATGATCTTAAGCGTATACATGAGAGATAGAAGGAGTGAAATCTATGAAAAAGTAGGAAAAATATTAGAAGATATTAAGGAAGGATTTTAACGCAAGAACAGCAAATAAAGGTGGAAGGGAGAGTGAAATGATGACAGAAGAATATAGGCTATCGAAAGATAAGGTTGTAAATAAAGAAGGAGAGGTACTACTGAATTGGGTTTCAGATAATGGAATGTACATCCTAAATGGAAACGTAAGAGGCGATGAACAAGGGGAATTAACCTACATAGGAACTAAAGGAAGGTCAGTAATAGATTACGTAATTACTAATAGGAAAACTGAAGAACATCTGATAGAGAGAATGCAGGTAGTGGATAACAATGAGTCAGACCATCAAAGATTAGACTTGCAATTAAATATTTTAACGAAAAAGGTACATGAAAAAGGATCTAAATACAAAACAATAATCTACGAAGGATGGTCGGAGGAGGATATCTTAAATTACAACAATAAGTTAAAAGAATTAGGAAGACCAGAAAATTGGAACGGACTCAGAGAAAAGCTAAAAGCAGCGGTATGTATAAAGGAAATAAGGATTAATACAAGTATCCAGAAAAAGAAATGGTGGGATCAAGAATGTCACGCAGCAAAACTGGAGTTAAAGAAGACAAGGAAAAAATATATAGAAACAGGTGAACTGAAAACAGATTACTGTGAATGTAAAAAGAAATACAAAAAAATAATTGAGGATANATTGATGGTTTTCTGTAAGATATTCACTAAAAAGCAATATTACAAAAAAATTATAGAATTCTGTGCGCTGCCCTGTCAAAGTTTATTAACGTACAAATTTTGCAACAGTATAAACCAAGAGTCATCATTATAGTCTTAATTATTTTTTGGCATAAAACCAATTTTAAAATTTGCAACCTTGGTGATTTTCAGCCAAATGCTTAGAACCTGCATTACGCCCAATCCTTAGTGATTTTTAATTTTCCTATTCCCCAGCCAAAAAGAATAAAGTAGGTACTTACGTATTACTTTTATTACCATTTCTTCCCCAAAACTTTTTGTATAGAGTAGGAAATCAAGCTGGAGTATAACCGTATTTGCTGTAGATTAGACAATTGGATGAATTGAACTCTTTTTCTTGCTCTGTTGTAATCTGTAAGGGTGCACCAAATCGACGAATACGTCCTTAGCAGAAAACAAAATCTACAGTTGCTTTTTGATATTTGACAGAAATAAATTCTGGTTAAGATGTGTATTAGTCTACGCACGTGAGGCAATATCGGCATCCTTCAGATCAGGACTACGTGTATTGAAATCTATCTGAGATTTTTTCATTCTGACAAATGCACGCACGTGGCCATTTTGCATAATCATCATTTGTTGATAGCCAGATCATGCATGATAAATTTGGTAAAGTGTGCTTTAGGGAATGTAATTGGTTGGAAACAGCGAAACGATATAGCGGTATCAGGAATGGTCTAACAGCAACTGGGATGTCACAGAAGGTATCCTTGTTTGTACCCGGTATATGGATATGTTTTATGACTAGGGAATCGTTTGAATTAAATTACGATTGAATTATCAATATAAATTTATCATTACACTGAGCATCCTATATTGAAGTCACCAAATCTTACCACAAATTAGCTACTATGTGGAAAACACAACATGATTGTATAAAACAAAAAGAAAGTTGTAGGTGTTGTATTGATATTTAATTTACTGGCACCCATTGTGTAGTCATTAATATTTAAATTACAAAAATTATTGATGAAGGAATAACTGCTTGGTTAGATTTTCCATTAATGGTACAAGTGGAAACACATGTAATACTATTGCATTAGGTAACCCAACATCCGGTCATGTGTAGACAACCCTATATATTGTACATAGTAACAAAGGAGACCATAATTTTCTAGATGTTACATTCTGGATTTTCCTAAAATAAGTCCAGCGCCTATAAATAGTTTCCGCGAGTTCGGAAGAGTCAGTCAATAAAGTCGTCATGTACTTCAGTAAACCAGTCCCGAAAAAAGACAAAATTACTGTGTGGCCGATCAAAGCCACCAGTTATGATTAAAACCCTCCAATATTTCCACAAATACTTACATGGAAGTTACGAAGTTACTCTTAAGAAGGAATCAAGCCTCACTGATGTGGCTACTGTAATTTAAGAACCGGGAAGGACAAATTGCACGATGGTTACGACTTCAGGAGTTATCGAACATTGCACATGCAAACTACACGACAACGTAGATGCACAGAAGAACTGTGAAAAACTGTAAAAATTGCTCGTCTGCAGAGAAGAAAGAAGATTTGGCATCGTCCTGATATAATCTGACCACCGTTCAGCCTAACGGATCCTGGGAAGATAAAAAATTAATCGAAGGATAGAGGAACGAAGAAGATATTCGTTCAACAATTAAACGGAAAGAAGTCGGAATCTGAAGAGTATTGTGGGCAAATGTGAGTGAGACAACGAAAAATTATCGAACCCAGTTTATTTCTCTTGCCTTGAACCACGACAGATGGAACCAGAAACAAACTTCAAGAGGTACTTTGGTTACGAAGTAGAAGCGATGCGGAAGGCCTGTGCCAGTAAGAAGACGTGATGTTTGATCGCCCTGGAGACTCTCCAGAAGAAAACGTGCGCAAATTACATGAACGCCTAGAAGCTATTTACAATGGATATGTAGTAGCAAAATAAACCATTCGCTTTAAAACGATGAGCTCCTCATCATAAGTGGTAATCATAAATCATGTAAAATCGAAGATGTAGTATTAAAAATAAGCTGCTATTTTATTTTATAAGTATTTTAGAAACTGTAAATAAATATGTAAATAGTAATTTATACACCCCGATATATCAAAGAGTGCAGTATTCTATAATATTATTTTAAACCACATCACAATTACAGTTCATAAACAATTCTACTTTCTTCAATTATCTGCCAACAACTAGCTTTTTAAAAATAGACGGAATAATTCGGAATTTCATTGAATGTTTCGGTAAGTACCTTATTTGCAGCTTTCTCAGTAACTCATTCGAACTCTTTCTTTTCGTTATTATTTTAATTATTTTAATTCACAATTTCAGTTTAGTCGATAAGATGGATCAGAAAGTGCAGGATGGCGTAGCTTAATAATCTATAAATTAATTGGTAATGTCTTCACATAAATTGTAATATGAGCTGAGCAGTTAACACTTGAACATTACTCCTTAAAATAATTCGAAGTGGTCTGTATTCTGTCGAAATTGCCAGACGCGGATCGCGATTTCGATCTGTTTGGATCTCATCAGCGCATCGCAGACAGCTCCGACAGAACACAGACCAACTTTTTCCTGCTGTCTTAACAGTGCGTTTTAGAAAATACCACAAATGGCGCGGTAAACGCCATCTGTAGTACGATGCTACATTTTAAGATTACGTATGCTCCATTACATAACATGCTTGATGCCCTTCTCATTCATAAAATTAGCAAATGATTTACTAATAAAAGCCAATCCCCTATCAGTTATTACGCGTCTTGGGTACTAAAACTCACCAAGTGTCCACACTAACGTCTCTAGAGTTTCTACTGAGCTTAAAGTTTTTGTAGGCTTGACTTACGTATATTTAGTAAACGTATCTACCATTACTAACAAACAAGTATATCGCATTACACTCTTGACAAAGGGACCTATCTATGTGCATCGTGTCTAATAAAGTCGCCTTCTTCTCGTAAGGATGCAGAAATCCTTCGCCTCGCCCAAGCACATCTTCTGCATAAGTACAAACCGCCGCATCTTAGGAGACAAATACGATTTCTTAAAAGGATGAAAACGGGATACGTAATATTGTCATGGTATTTTCCTAGTAAGCTAAATTTGGAAATTGCAGGAACATACAGTTTGTCACCTTAACCTGTAACACGCCACAACCCCTCATCTCTCACCTTAAATGCTGTTCGCACGTCTTTATCAGCTATACCTCCTTTCAATTCCTTTATGATAGCCTGCATCTTCTCGTCCTGCAATTTAGTTGCTTCAAACCAATCCGTTTCAGTAATAGCCGCTAAATTTACTCTCTACTTTCGTAGTTGCTTTGCTAAAATAGGAATTCAACTTGCCTGTTGATTTCTTCTGCATCAATATACCGCCCAATCCGATCTTAATAGCGTTAGTGTGCAATTTAATAGGCAGTTCACTGCGATACAATTCTAATATTGGTCGTTGTACCAATGATGCCGTCAGCTTTTCAAATACCGACTGCTCCGCTTCGCCCCAAACTAAATAGGCGGACGTACCAAGGTTCCAAGATCTTAAACTAGCGGAAATAGCTAACCAACCCATATATGAAGATTGGAAAAAACTTTGGCGGTTGTTGTAGAACAAACAGAATAGCTCAAAACCCCAACGCCAAAACACGACACTGTAGTTGTCCGAAGCATTTTCGGTAACAAAGTTACCTTCTTCAGGGACCTGATAGGGAAAACCTTTGTCCTACTTAAGTACTAAAAATATCCGCATTACGTGAATATGATTGGGATTGTTACGCTTTTCGGTATGAAGGACCTTTCAAAAAAATAAATGTTGGAACCTAAAATCTCTATAATAAATCACGGGAGAACCCTATCAAAACCAACCTGCTTGTAAAAATTCATTATGAAAGAAGTACAAGTATATACTTAACTGACCCGGCAAACGTTCTTTTCCCATATAAATTATTTCTAGTAAATATTTTGGTAGTCAATTAAAAAAGAACTAACTTATTGTAAGTATGTGGGGGTGTGTGTATGATTTAAAAGGAATGGAACGCTGTGAAGAAATGACTGCCTATAAAAAAACACAACATGAAACATTCATTTTTTGAGTTAATTGTAAATAAATGGAAAATCATAGAATACAAATGCATAGAACTAAATACATAAAAAAACAACCATATACGAAAGAAAAGGCAGGAGGGAATAAAAAAAAACGTACTATAGAATGGCAAAAAAAAATAAGGGAAAAATAATAAATTATCTAAGATACATATTGCAAAAGCAATAACAAAAGTGAAACCACATAAATAATCTAATGAAGAAAGCAATAACGCATCTAGGAGAAGTATTGGACATTGCAGGAAAAAGTATCATAATATACTCATATATGGAGACGAAGGGTGGAAAACATACAAAGAAACTGAGATTTCAAAAAAATTCGTTAAAAAGACTGTGAAGTTAAACAGAACAGAGAAAGGAAACAAGAAGGCCGCTCCCCGCTCTGGACTGTGCTAATAGTAATACAGGGGAGATTTGAAATAATTGTTCAACATCTTACCACTTTTTGACCCTCAGGACATCTTGCTAGACTTTCAACTCTAGAGAAGGAGTTAGAACACACGCTTTTTGTCAACAATACCAGGAGCTTTGTTGAAGATCCTCTGGAATTGTCGTAGAGCACCACTCGGAGCTTATTTAAATTTGAATTTCCTGCGTTAAGTTGTGACCCATTAAATTTTGTCAAACAAGATATCGCTAGAATATTGAAAAACGGTTTTTTGTTAAAGTAGGCATATTTGGAGCGTTCTTTTTCGTTGGCTATTAAATTTGATCAATAACTGCCACAAATATGTCGAGAAATGGAGGGTGGGCAAGGCTAGGCCTGTTTAAGTTTGAATTTTCCACCAAGAAACATAGGAAATAATATTCTACATTAAATAACGGTAATGATGGTTCAAGCTTTATCTCATTCTATCCGCACTTTAGACATAAACGAAAGGCTACTAACTCAAGCAAAATAATTTATTTGGTCAGTACCAATAAATAGTTGCCACAAGCTCGAGTAACGAGGCGATGCAAAGTGAAGTATAAAGAGCGAACAAGTTTGCGATATAGTTTTGAATTAATAATTAATTAATAATAATAGTGTTGGTTAGAAAGTAAATAGTTAAATAAATTTAGAAATATTGAGGAAGGTGTTTGAATACGGGTTATTTCTTCTTGAGGTGCTTTTAGTTCTTCTTGTGCTATTTTCACGTCATCTTGTACTGTTTCCATCTTCTCTTCTATTTCATTTTATCCTTTTTCTATTTTTTTTTGTCATTTTTGCCATCACTACCATTAATGCCTTTATTTGTTCTTCAATTTTTGTTCCAATAACACAGGTCGTAACAGGCACATAATTTCTCTATTTCTTCGATGAAAATTTTCAATTTTGGTAAAATCGGCCTTCTTTCGTGGTGGGCTTCGCAATCCGGTTATTATTATTATCTGTGGAAACATCTATTTCTACTTTATACTTTACAATGTTCTTCATGTATTGGTGAAGCCTCTACGGTAGGTGTAGTCAAGATCCGCATTCTTATCAAATGTCGAACTCCTTTGTCGATAACCATTCTAACATTGTGCTAAAAGACTTCTTCCGGGCCTTTATTGTGCCCCTTAAAGTTGACTGATCGTTAGTTCTCCGACTGCTGCGTTTTTATTTGAGGTACACTCTCAACTTAGTTGTCCTATTTTTCCGCAACTCCAGCATTTCAGACGACCACTGTAATTCTTGCACTTTCAAGCAAAATGAGTACTTCATCTACATTCCCAAGATTTTGAGTTTCGTTCTCTGGCGTTTGTAGCAGTGCCTTTCTTCACATCCATTATGCATTTCCTGATGAGCGACAAGACACTTTCTCTTGTAATTTGTGCTATCGACGATTTCTGCTCCACTACCCATATATGGAAGCATCCAGAGTACGTGAGAGAGTGTTCAATAACATCGACTGCTTTATACAAGTTATTTAATTTTGCTTGTTCGTTTGTAAAAAACTGGTTCAATTATTTCTGATACGTTTACGCGTATTTCTGTCAAGTTGTTTTTAATGTAGAGTGTCATAAAATGGTACATTCTTGCTTTCCAATATTATTATAAGTTTGGTATACTAAAATTAAACCTATTTCACGTAACTTTAAGTTTTCATAAAGACCGTACAGTAAATAAAAAGCTGTAAAATTAGTAGTAGAGTGTATTAGAATTTTAATTATCATAGTCATCAGTCATTAGTTCTCTAGGGGTTTTGTAAGGGTTTTCTATTTGTAATGTTCGCAATTTTTCTAATAACGTACAATGTAACTTCTCTATTGGTGAATTATTTCTGGGCATATTTTCAAAATAAATCCATCAAAGTGAGAAATTTATAGTTAAAATTAAAATAAAAAATTTAAATACGTCACCATGTATGATTTCAACAGGTCTTTTAGCACATTTATTTATCAATGTGTTTATTTTAGTTTTCATATTAGATCAATAGTATTTTCGTTTTGAATATAAGTACGTTTTGTTTATACCGTTATAGTTTTGTTTATGATAGTCATCAATTGTGTGCATTTGTTTTTCAATACTACTTATACCTTGAGCCATAAAATTTAACTAACCTAATTTTATTTTCTTTAAATATTGGGAAATTTTTTCTAATTGTTCTGAGTTGATTAATTATTTGGATTAAAAATTTCTGTTTACCTTTTAATTGTGTCTTTCTTTTAATTTCCTCTACGAATAAATATTTTATAATTTTACCGAAAAGTTTGGTTAATATTAATTTGTAAGATGAGACATGTCTAACAATTATTCAATTATGAAATTCGTTTACATGTCTTTCCGAATTTGACATCGGAAATGTGGAGGTTTCTATTGAAGTGTGTTGTGTGTCGACATCTTCTAATTTAGCAAATACATTATCTATATTATTTATTTGTGGTACTTTATTTTCGTCTACTTGCGGCAAAATTGATTACTGCACCTAGTTATCAGTATCTTTCCCGCTACGCGTACTAATTTCGGTACGAATGAGGCATCGACATTTGTATTTTCCTATCCTTTGTTATATTTTACTTCATAGTTTCAACAAATTTATTAATAAGATTTTTCCCAACATTGTACAAAAACTAGTGTCCGACCGAAAGTTCGGTTTCCGTCGAGTTTCGGTTTAGTTTCGATTTCGGCGGCAAACCTGCCGAAACTACGACCGAAACCGAAACTGCGTTCGGGAGTTCTCGCGCTCTGCTCGGTCATGTTCGGCGCGTTAAATTCCATCCAAGCGAAGTAGATTAGTAGACATTTCGCCGCGTCTAGGTGCATAATCATATTGTGACTGGTTCGTGTTTGCAGTTCGTTTTGTTATTTATGTTCCTATACCTATTGTGATATTAGGTAACAATAACAAAAGTAATTTTATGTTTAATATTATATAAAAAAAGCATGAATAATCTTCAAAANACGGTTGTTGCAATAATCCTTTAGGTCCACCACGACGAAGAAATACGCTTTCCGTGTCGGAAAGCTCTTTGAAAATAAATATTGACCTCCTACCATGATTTGACCCATCTGTAGGACGTAGTTGCTGTATGTATTGACGTAATGTCTGTACGTAGTTGATTGGTGCGTCGTTACATACAGGATTGGTTGGAACGAAGAATTCTCCAGGTATTCGAAATGGCTCTCCGTAGACCATCTCTGCTGCTGATGATTTTAGGTCATCTTTCCGCGCAGTACGAATTCCTAGCATTACTGCAGAAAGAATTTCTGTCCAACGGGAAACAGCACGGCACATAATCGCTCCTTTCAGCTGTCGGTGAAGGCGTTCGACAAGACCATTGGCCTGCGGATGGTAAGCGGATGTTCGAAAATGGGCCGTACCAGTCAAGATATTTAGTTGCTTGAACAGGTAGTAAAATTAAAACAGTTGGTATAACTACCAAAGCTATAAATGTTATTTTAATTTTTTTACAATTTTACTGTTATAAATATGCTACCTTTAAATTGAAACATTTTTTTGCGGCTTGTTCTGCATACTGCTTTGACAATCCTAGTCTTTAACATTACTCATCATAGATTTTACATATGCCTTAAATATATCATCACTCATCAGTCAGCATCTCACTGTCCTCGTCCTTAAGGGTTCTTCACACTTCTGCAATTTCAATGAATTCAAAATAATATCGATCCTTTCATGAATATAGTTTACATTCATACACAAATTAAAATTAATATTTTATATCAATAATGCAAATGAAATATCTCTATTATAATTATGATCGATAGCTTATTTCTTTACACGTCCAAACACTAATTCGTTATGAGTAAAAGAAACATTTCGGCACTTGTATTACCCGCTAATTCTATTAATATGTATAAGCACGGTATGGTAAAAATATTCTGTATAAAGAGTATATTGTATACAAAAAATAAGACGCTGCTGATTGCACAGTCCAAATAAAGGAAATAAAAAACAAGCAGTACGAATCCACCAAAAGTCTGCACGGTGGCAAATCATTAATTTATCGTTAACCAGAAACAAATGCAACAAACTTTGTACATATTACTACGTAAGTTGTAGGTACCGATATATGTAAATTTTGGCAATTAAGTTCATTTTGAATTTTCAATGAGATTAGTGCAAAAAGTACTGTAAAATTACGTTATGTATATACATAGAAGTGCTCGTTTAGAGATATACCTGATTTGATACGACACAATAACAAAAAATCAAATGCGTGTAGTGTACCTACAGTCTTTAGTATCATGGTAATTAGATATTACTTCTAGGGCTTTTTCTCGATTGTAAGGTGTCAAGTCAACACGGGCTTTTGTAAAAGTAACTTTATTGTTTTATCCAAGCAGCGCTTTAGGTAATGTTTGTAATATAGTCGAAAAGCATTGCTAATTTTGTTGTCAAAATGTACTCCTACTTGAATAGGTACTTTAAAGGGGGTATTAGACAATTTAAACTAAAATAGTGTTAATGTTAATCTGAATGTAATTTCTTTATGTAACATTTGGTAGTGTTTTTGTCGTAAACTTAACGTTTTTCTAATGTAAATGTGCATTGTAAAGGAAAACCTGAAGGGGTTTCTCTTCGAATAATTTCATTGTAGATACAAGGTCTTCTCGTCATTGTCGTTATTGGGTTCATTGTCGTTATTGGGTTCATTGTCATTGACGGGTTCAACTAATTGGGACAATTAAGCAAGGAACTCATCAGCTTCTTAGAGTGGTAAGAAATCTAGGTCTTGGTCTGAACAAGGGTTGACAAATAATGAATCTGTATCAAAATCGTCATCTTCTTCAAGGGCGTTTACCTCCATTCACATAAGCGCGCCTGCTACATGATTTTCTTCTCCTTTTGTATGTTTTTTAGGGGATTGCAAGGTAAAATAACACAATAAAACAAATGAAATCAAACAGGACTAACAACTTAACAATATATTTACAAAACTGGAACAATGAAATTAGAAGTGAAAAAAACTGAGAATAAAACTAGTTGAAGACTTAGCAGATTAATTGAATTGAACTGTAGAAAACCGACTTAGGAAGTGTTAATGTTTTGGAAATGAAAATGTTAGGAAAACTATTAAGGCGGAGCTAGAAGCGTTTAGATGAAAGTAGGGAACCAATTAGAAGAGAATAATATCTGGAAATGTGAATATACAAAATACTAAGAAATAGACAGGTAGAATGTTAACCCTACACCGCTGAAGAAACCTATCATTAAAAAGCAATTAAGAAGGGACAATAGTTATTGACATCATGCAGTTAGTACGTGAAGTTGAACTGTTAAAAGGGATTATAGAAAAGTCCAAGTAATAAAGTTATTTGCAGAGAACACAATAGATAGGTACATACACAAANGACTAAAAAGACGAAAGACGCATAAAAGATGTGATAGTGGAAAACTCTTATTGTACAAACTATTATACTTCTTAATATTAATATTTTATTCATTAAAAACATTCTAAAGTAGTGGATCTGGATTCGCTTTTATTTACCCTAGACAAACTAAAGAAAAAGCCTACACTCATTATTTGTTTTAAAATAGTCCATATCCCTAAATGTATCAATTTGTGATATGTTAATAGAGGCAACTTTATTAAAACCAACTTTATTGTTAGTTAAACACTTTTTCTCAGATTACTACGCTTTATCTGAACGGCTGGTAACGATAATACAAATATCAGCGGGCAGGTATGCGCGGCCACAATACCCCCCTGCCAGTGATTGAGATCACGAAACTTGTAGACGATCCGGGAATCGGACACGTCTTCCAGAACGTGTACAACGGGTTGATGGTTGCTTGACAGAATTGCTGTTTGTGGATGGTTGGTAAATGTTTTGTCGGATCTTTCTACAACTTTGAAAGGACCTTCGTACGGTTGTTGCAATAATCCTTTAGGTCCACCACGACGAAGAAATACGCTTTCCGTGTCGGAAAGCTCTTTGAAAATAAATATTGACCTCCTACCATGATTTGACCCATCTGTAGGACGTAGTTGCTGTATGTATTGACGTAATGTCTGTACGTAGTTGATTGGTGCGTCGTTACATACAGGATTGGTTGGAGCGAAGAATTCTCCAGGTATTCGAATTGGCTCTCCGTAGACCATCTCTGCTGCTGATGATTTTAGGTCATCTTTCCACGCAGTACGAATTCCTAGCATTACTGCAGGAAGAATTTCTGTCCAACGGGGAACAGCATGGCACATAATCGCTCCTTTCAGCTGTCGGTGAAGGCGTTCGACAAGACCATTGGCCTGCGGATGGTAAGCGGATGTTCGAAAATGGGCCGTACCAGTCAAGATATTTAGTTGCTTGAACAGGTGGGATTCAAATTGCCTTCCCTGGTCTGTGGTAACTTTCAGTGGGACGCCGAATCTTGCAATCCAGGTCGAGAAGAACGTTCGCGCTACGGTGGTGGCCTCTTGGTCTTCCATTGGTATAGCTTCCGGCCAACGAGAGAATCTATCAACACAGGTTAAGCAATACCTAAAACCTTCTGAGATGGGCATAACGACAATGTCGATATGCACGTGTTGAAAGCGTCCTGAGGGTGCTGCGAAGGTACCAGATGGCGATTTTGTATAGCGCGTAACTTTAGATCGCTGACACGCTTCACAACCTTGTGCCCACTTTCTGCAGTCCTTTTTTATTGAAGGCCAAACGTAACGCTGTGTTACCAGTTTGACCGTTGTGCGTACTCCAGGATGAGAGAGACCATGAACTAAATTGAAGACTGTGCGCCTATAATTAGGTGTTACGAAAGGACGAACGTTGCTAGTTGATACGTCACAGAGTAACTATATGCCGGTTTCTGGCATTCTTATCATCTTCAGTTGCAAAGATGTAGAGTTTTCGCTAGTAAGGGATTTTAATTCCTCGTCTGTCTTTAGCGCTGCTGCCAATACATTTAGATCTAATTCCTTGGACACCTCGTCAATTCGGGAAAGAGCGTCTACCACTACATTTACGTCTCCTGAAACATGGCGAATATCTGTGGAAAATTGTCCAATGAAGTCTAAATACCTGAATTGACGAGGTGTGCATTGCTTTTCTTTCTTCCTAAATGCGTATGTTAATGGTCGGTGGTCTGTGAAAATAGCGAATTGTCTAGCTTCAACCATATGCCGAAAATACTTTACGGCTTCTTATATCGCTAACAATTCCCTATCGTAGGCTGCATACTTTCGTTCTGCCGTAGTAAGTTTTCTCGAAAAGAAAGCTAGTGGTTGCCAGGATCCATTTACTTGCTGTTGCAGAACTGCGCCTATGGTGAAATCTGAAGCATCAGAGAAAACTGCCAACGGTGCATTTGGTGCAGGATGCGCCAATAAGGTAGCTTGTGCCAAACATTCCTTACAGGCGTTGAATTCCATTTTCGTTGCTGGTGTCCATGCTACGGGTGTATTTCCTTTCACGTTTCCTTGCAGTTGGTCATTCATGCCCGTTTGCACCGACGTTTTACTAAGGCAGACTTAACAAAGTACTGCTTAAGCATAAGTCTTACTTAACTTCCAATTCGTTTGCACCGTACGCTGTCTACCTGCAACTTAAGTAAGTAGTGCTTAGTTGTTGATGGTTTGGCAACAACGGTAAAATTTAGTAATTTGTAGGGTTTTTTGTGCAGAATGGTCAAGAAGTTTCAAATTTATTGTGTCCGTTAAGTAACATCTGGTGTCGTGAAGTGTTGTTTGCCGCCTTTTTCTGCTTTTATACGTTTTTGTTTTTGTAATTATTTGTGTTTTGTTAGGTTTTGTTGTGTTTTAGTTTGTATATATATTAGTGATATGATGTTAGAAACAATTTTTAGTTGTAATTGGTATAGTGTAGAGACAATTTTCTTCTGAATTTCGTATAAACAAACCTTTTCCAACTAAAAGCAGTACTACAGGAGTTTAACTGTTAACGCCAACTGCCAAAATGAACTCTTAAGTGTAATCTAAAAGTGTTTATTTTCAATAAAAACCAAACTTCTGATAAAACGTACTATTATTGTATATTATTAGTTCACCTTCTATTACTAATGATTAGCTATTGGCGTTCTTATCACTACTCCAGTTAAATTGTGTACATTTTCAAATTTCTAATATATCATCAGATACTAATTACTACTCTTGGAATGTAAATAATCCGTACATTGCAATACAATAACATAAATGATAACACACACCAACTTCCATTTAATGATAATTTAATTTAATAATTATTATATTGTTTATTTTATTATTTAATAGTAACATGATAATAACCTCTTTACTATAACGATGTTATTTTCTTACGGCGAAAAATGCCGAACTACTGCCGAAATTGTTACGATAGGCTTAAGCAATGCTTAAGTCAGGAACATCCTGTGCTTAAAGTTAAGCATCTGTTTCGATTCTTAAGCGCGACTTAACTTGCGGTGCAAACCAATTCCGTCTTTTAAGAACTACTTAAAGCTAAGTAGTACTTATTTAGGTCGGTGCAAACGGGCATCATACATTGAAGCAATGCGCTGTTGCCAAACTTCTCAGCATGGCTTTTAGTAGAGACAGTTTTGCTACTACTATTTTCTTTTATACCTTCTTATAATACAGATCAAAGTTTGTATGAAAAAATAAGCAGTAAGGACTTATAACTTTTTATTTTGCGTAAGACCCCGTAAGACTGCCTTTTTATACCATTCTTTTTTTGCTCAATTGATAGTTTAACAGGAGTAATATATATAATATTTATACATTGAAATAACAGTAACTAATCAGGAATAATTTATTATTATTTAAGCTAGGTTTAATTAAAAAGAAACTGAAATTATTTAACATGCGTTAATAATAAATTAATTATTAAACTAATAACGTAAGGACCACTGCAGCTTTATTCAATTCATTCCTGTACTAACGTGGATACTCTTAAGGGTTTTTATTTCATTTTATATGTTTTTTTATTCGTAAGTAATAATAGCTATATTTACCCTGGTGTTTGTTTTCGTAAATCCCAGATTATAGGGAATTTACCGATGCGAACGACGGTGAATACCGCGAGGGGTGGGGCGAAGTAGTCTAAAATAGTTAGCCATCTAAGTCAGACTAAAAAGACGAAAGACGCATAAAAGATGTGATAGTGGAAAACTCTTATTGTACAAACTATTATACTTCTTAATATTAATATTTTATTCATTAAAAACATTCTAAAGTAGTGGATCTGGATTCGCTTTTATTTACCCTAGACAAACTAAAGAAAAAGCCTACACTCATTATTTGTTTTAAAATAGTCCATATCCCTAAATGTATCAATTTGTGATATGTTAATAGAGGCAACTTTATTAAAACCAACTTTATTGTTAGTAAAACACTTTTTCTTAAATTACTACGCTTTATCTGAACGGCTGGTAACGATAATACAAATATCAGTCTCTTGTATCTCAAAACTAAAATAGCTAATAATATCAAATTTTAAGGCCATAATAAAAATATTAAATACTACACAAAATCGTACAGAAACCAAAACAAACTTTAGGAACAAGCCCATTTCCTGTATTTTTAATTATATGGGAGAAATGGTTTCCATTTTCTTTGCATTCCGGCACTGCACAATTTGTCATTTTTATTAAATTTTATAAAACTTTAAAATTTAGTTAGTCTGTCTCTTTTGAACATACAAGATTTACATTAACCTATAGTAGAGACGATTGGAAATAAATCCGCAATAAATTATCCGTAAGAATAGACGTATCCTTTTCCTTGTTCCCACTTGGAACTGCACTGATGCCCGTCTGCACCGACGTAAATAAGTACTACTTAGCTTTAAGTAGTTCTTAAAAGACGGAATTGATTTGCACCGCAAGTTAAGTCGCGCTTAAGAATCGAAACAGATGCTTAACTTTAAGCACAGGATGTTCCTGACTTAAGCATTGCTTAAGCCTATCGTAACAATTTCGGCAGTAGTTCGGCATTTTTCGCCGTAAGAAAATAACATCGTTATAGTAAAGAGGTTATTATCATGTTACTATTAAATAATAAAATAAACAATATAATAATTATTAAATTAAATTATCATTAAATGGAAGTTGGTGTGTGTTATCATTTATGTTATTGTATTGCAATGTACGGATTATTTACATTCCAAGAGTAGTAATTAGTATCTGATGATATATTAGAAATTTGAAAATGTACACAATTTAACTGGAGTAGTGATAAGAACGCCAATAGCTAATCATTAGTAATAGAAGGTGAACTAATAATATACAATAATAGTACGTTTTATCAGAAGTTTGGTTTTTATTGAAAATAAACACTTTTAGATTACACTTAAGAGTTCATTTTGGCAGTTGGCGTTAACAGTTAAACTCCTGTAGTACTGCTTTTAGTTGGAAAAGGTTTGTTTATACGAAATTCAGAAGAAAATTGTCTCTACACTATACCAATTACAACTAAAAATTGTTTCTAACATCATATCACTAATATATATACAAACTAAAACACAACAAAACCTAACAAAACACAAATAATTACAAAAACAAAAACGTATAAAAGCAGAAAAAGGCGGCAAACAACACTTCACGACACCAGATGTTACTTAACGGACACAATAAATTTGAAACTTCTTGACCATTCTGCACAAAAAACCCTACAAATTACTAAATTTTACCGTTGTTGCCAAACCATCAACAACTAAGCACTACTTACTTAAGTTGCAGGTAGACAGCGTACGATGCAAACGAATTGGAAGTTAAGTAAGACTTATGCTTAAGCAGTACTTTGTTAAGTCTGCCTTAGTAAAACGTCGGTGCAAACGGGCATGAGTGTTTTGAACATGCCCTTAATAAGTTAAGAAATACTTCATGAGTAGTACAGACGAAGTGAAAAATGATAACCGAATAACAGTAAGCGCTGCAGCAGTTACAGTTTGCTTAGGTACGCAAAAGATCAGAATCGGCTTTATAACTGCCTGGTTGGAATTATATTTTTAAGCAATCGTCTGTGGTGTAAAATTGTCGGCACAAATAAGAAATCATTTCCGTGTTATGCGATTTTTTTATTAAATCTCAGTAATAGCTAGTAATTGACATATGCGGTGCGAACGTAATAATTACTAAAAAATATTACGGATGTTTGTGAAAATATTAAATAGGCGAAATTCAACTACCTCATATAGAAAAAGAAACGGTACAATGTTTATTCAATAACCATTCGTTACTATTCTATTCAAATATTGCTAATACTAAAAATAATATCTTCCTGAACAACAAAATTTCAGTGGTGAACAATTGACCTAAATAATCCAGAAATGCACAAAATTATTTAATAATTTAATAAAGTCCGAAGACAAGAAATCATCAGTGGATAATTTCTCTAGTAACATATCGCTTTTGCTCGGTCATTTCATAAATGTTTCGGATTTCGACTTTTATTTACTCATCCATATCTCGAGTTTTGTAAGCCTTTCAGGTATTCTATAAAACATTTTGGAATAAACTATTTCTGAAAATCTAAGAAACAAATTCTGTTGAATATTTTCAATATTTTGCTTTGGTTTATTATTAATTTGAATTTTAATTTAAAAGCTTTGTACTTATTTTTCTCGTTTGTCCAACTGCACATTTCTTTCTTATCCTAGAAATGGTTCTGGGGCTATTTTAACGCTTCCGATGCACACTCGATAACCGATAAATTGTCTCCTGTAGTCTCCTTTTTATTCGAAAAGTATAACATTAAGAGCTAATTGCTTACTCTGAATACTCAAATGTTTGGAAGTCATCTTTAAAGTCAAAGAAAAAATAAATAAAACAACGAACGCACTTTTGACCTGTATGAGGACTACACAACAATGACCAGTTATTTATTTCTGAAATATATTTTGAAATTATAACTTACCTATTTCTTTTGCTCAGGCTAATTGCACCCTAAGTAGTTTAAACTAATTACGAAAGCCTACATAATAACAATTTTATTTATGCCTGAAGTATATACATTTTGTTTTAATTACTGAACTTTTTCCGTAAATTGAAAGTAAAATTAATCAATTTCTTGAATTTTTTTATCGTTGGATGTCCAATCCTCATGATATGCATTAATTGGTTATGCTTCTACCTCATTATATTTGGTCACATACCGTTTTCCTTTCCCTCATTACTTTGGTTGGGGTAATTGCACGATAATTAGTATTAACTAATTGCATATGATTTGGTATGTAGGTATCTACATAATGACAATTTTATTTCTTTCTGAACTATATGTATTTTGAGATTAAATATACAGAACCTATTTCAGTTCATTAAATTTTAATATTATAGAAACATTTACCGAATAGTTTTGTAAACTGATAGCAAAATCAGCAATTTCCTGATTTATTGTATTGTTGGATGTCTGATATTGATATTATGCACATATAATGTATAAGCTTCCACATCTTTCTGCTTTCAGATTTGGTCGCATACCTTTTTCCTTTTTCATCTGTAAGTGTCTACTGTAATACTTACACTACTTCTCTTTCTAATTTTTACTATATTTTTAATGACGTCTGTCGTGACTTAAAAAAGGCGTCGCCTTTACTATCGCTATACTCTGTATTAATAAGATAAAAGAAAAAAGAAAATGTGGCAGTTTTACTGGGGACTTTGCCATTTCCAGTCGTCTCTACTACATACCGTCAAGATAAACCTGAAGATCATAGTAATAGCGAGACGTAGCGAGAAAAAATGGTAAAAATCTTCTCCAAGCTTTCGGAGTATGCAATAGAGAATCGCATAGTGAGTAAAGCAGCGTGGTTAAGGGACAAAAAATTTATTAAAAAACCAGACGAAATTGCGATCCGAAGCCAGCCCTGGGCTCGACTTGGCAACGCATAAAGAAATTGCGATAACTAAGCAATTACATCGATGAAAAAAGTAAACAGTTGTGGAACGATTAATAAAGTAAATATCAACAGCTTACTACTACGCTATTACACTAAGAATAAATTAAATACTTTGTTCGTCGCTGATAATATGCAGTACTATTTAAAGTAGACCTCGACGTGGTAATAAAAACACATGGTAAAAAAATTACCATTATGTGAACTTTAATAGATAAATTAATATCCTTTAGATAACTAATAATAGTTTTATTAAATTTCAAAACCAACATTGCCAAAGTGCATTTCCTTTTTTATGAATGGTTCGGTTCGTCAATAGCCCTATCTTTCGATTGGAAAAAACAAATTGCAACACCAGTAAACACACACACACAGACTACAAAAATGTTTACAAGTAGTCCAAAAACGTCTGGCATTTAACGTACATACTCCATTTACAGCGATCATACACGGTCGTACAAATCAATAGCTTTTTGCACTGACGTATGATCACGCTGTTTTATGCAAGCCCATACAAGCAAGTCAAGTCAAGACTAGGCATCAGACTACAAGACCCCCACGTCCGATCCAGGGTCTAGGAATATGTTCCTGTAGAAACTCACGCTTTCGTTAATGCAATAATAATATTCTGCATTGACTTATAAGACTGACACATTGGCACACTTCTAAGACTTCAACTGCCTACATGCATACGTAATACAAGCCTGCAACGGTAAATGAACAAATAACTACTCTACACTGGCTGCAGATATTAAACGTCAATCACACTAATAACAAAAACATGAGTACAAAAATACAATGCCTTGCAATGTTGCATTTCCTTATGTGATGCTAACAAAGCCACACTGGTACGAACTGCCTATCACTCTCTGTAAGCATGCTACATGTTTCAGAAAGACCCTGTATATATGGGATCCTCACTATTGCTCGTGAGTCTACTAACCAACTGGTAGGTGTTAGCTTATATTTTTAAATAAATACTTTGGATGTACTATTTTTTATTAGTGACTTAAATAAAAAATTATGGATACTATGTAACAGTATATTTTTTCTAATTCTAAGTAGATAAATGAAACACAATTGCAAGCAAACGCATTTTATTTATTCATTATTTTCAATCAGATGTAAATAATCATATGATCGGGTATATAAAAACAAGTAAATAAAAATTGAAGCAATCATAGCGTAAATTGAACTAAATAAGATTTTTAAGAGAATCACAATCAATGGAATACATTGAAGGAAATTATCTTTTCGAAGTAATAATTAGATAAAGCAACTAATAAGACTTGTTTTAATTTACGGTTTGAATATCAACTCTGTATGTGTTTGGACGAAGAGCACATTAATTTGGGAATCGATACCAACGCTTTCAACTCTTACCACTGAGGCTTTATTGGAATTCGGTTCTTTACGTACCACCGCAAGACCATAAACTCTTAACAAGTGTTCTTCTCCATTACTACCAGTTATATTCATTCTTACATGGCATAAAACGTCAACGTGGATATATTTTTCTATGGCGCATTGTTTACCACATGATGATGGCACCTACAGAAACAATTATTTCGCAAAAATAAGTAGACATACGTTGATTAATCATAAGAAAAATATTCTTACCCTTTCCATTTTTTCTTCCTTTTGGGGCAAATCTGCTCTCCAAACAGTTGCCGTACCAATATTTTGATCGCCAGCTAGTATAGTAAATTTCATTCCTTTTTCAAGAGCTCGCGGTTCCAATCCTAGGCCATCTGGATGATTATCGGACCATAAATAATTGTTGGGTTCCAAAAGAGAGTCAGGAGCAAATGTCAGCCTTTTGGCATATCCCATTCCAATACTGAGAAGTCTTAGTGATCGTCCCTCAAACAGACGTTCCTTCCTGTCATTTGGACGAACCTTGTAGCAGAATCCGGGAATCACTCGAGGATCTACGTATGTTCCTGAAAATTAGAACGGGTATTATAAATAGCTGCCGTATAAAGCAGATGTCTTAATTAGAATATGGATATACAGTCCACCTACCTACAACTGGGAGTTCATAATGTTCTAAGCCATTGATAGTATATCTAGTTGGAATGTCGTTAATATCTTCTCCTTTTACCACAACCCTTCTGTCCGTTTTGTAAATTCCTGGCTTCAAAATGTATCTGTGACTATTAATTTTAACATTTACAATTTTCCGTATTTCTGCATTGGATTTTCCTTTTTGTTTAATACAGATAACGGTTCCTGAAACAGGTTTTGGCTTTGCCACACCTGTTTCATAAAATTCTACTTTTCCTATGAAATTAACTTTGGCTCTTTTTTCTATGCCATTTTTTGTATATTCAGTGCTAATTTCAATTTGAGGTCCCTGAAAGAGTGAGCTTTGCCTAATATATGTAATTCAATCTTGTAGCATTTTCTTACAAACTACAACTTACGAATGTTAACCATCACGACGAAATACCCTACGAGTAAATTTGAACAACCCTGGAGGATTCTGCAATATGCTTGGTGGGTCTATGATCTAGCAGCACAAGTTCGATACCAACAATTCCAAAAAAAATAACAGAGTTTAAAGGATGTTTGTAACTCACCTCAATTTTAAGAACTTCCAAAGTTCCTTGAGCTTCTTGCATAACGTCATAGATGGTAAATTTATCTCCTTCCGATACTATTTCCATTTCAAAAGCGAACCCTTCTGGTCTGTTGTCACTCCAAAAATAATTCTCATTGTTGTTCAGGCAGCCTTTATCAGCTTCAAAAGTGAAACGTCTAGCGTAACCTCTTCCGATGGATTTCAATGTTAAAGCTTTGCCATTAAACAAGTAAGGTAGACATCTACGCACTTGCTCTTTGGAAGGAAGTGGGCTTACTTTGTACTTAAAACCAGGAACAACTCTATTATCAACAAAGACACCAACCACCGGTAACTGATGTGGTAAAAGTCCATACACGATATATTGAGCTGGAAAATCTCCTAAATCAGAAGCACTTAGCTTTACTGGCTGTAACCCGGTATCTACCAGTTCTTCCAGGTCAGGTTCCTAAAAAACAAAAGTTGTGATTGAAAATTAGATTATAAGAAAGTCAAGAGTAAATAGATATATTCTTCTAAATTTGATGGTATTACACTTACACATTCGAATACTTCTTCTTCATGTATGGGTGTTGGTTTTGTTGCAGGGGAAGCACACGATGCTATCAAAGATGGGCCCTAGAACATTAGTAGGTCCATGAAATTGAAGAAAAGCAATATGAATGTTTCAATGAACAGTATCAGAGTAACAGTGTTCTCCTTTGTTACTTACCACTTGGCTTGCGCTTGTAAATATGTCATCTAATTCAACACTTTCTTCAAAAACTGAGAGAGATGAAGGCTTTCTTTGCCAAACACGTTGCATAGCTTCCAATTGGAGCTCTTCTTCAGGGGTATTTGTCATCATCATTTTGTCTAAAAATATATTTCTGCGTAAATTAATATTGAAGATTAATAATATACTAATAAATTATAGATACAGACATTTCATGTAACTACTATTAAAAAACTTCTTCAAAATACCAATTTAAGGTACATTTATTCAATGAAAGATTATTAACCTTTTTTAATGCCTTCTCTGTTAAGAAAATCGCCAATTTTAAAAACTAAATAAATTACAGCAACAACATGATTTATTAGATCTACATCACACTATGTAGCACTTGTACAGGAAATTGTTTGCTTTGAACTGATAATTAATTAATCAGACATTACCTAAATGTAAAATAAATGACCTAAATGTAACGTAATAATGCCTATTTATCTGAAAAGTTATTCTATGATTACGAAATAAACCTACACAGTTTTGATTCAAAAATTTATTCCCCTTCAACAGTTCTTTTATATTTGTCAAAAATTTAAAATTAACTCAGGGATTATTTAGATTTATTCAGATTTTTTGAGATATCAGTTGATACACTAAACAGGTCAGCAACTAAAGACACTACCATCATAAAGTAAACAATAGGTACCTACATGTTAATATGTATAAACTTGTTACTTGTTCAATTCAAAAATGCTATAAATTTTCCAATACCTACAGGCTAAAGAATTAAACCGCAATTTTATCTCCACAGGGGATTGCAAATTTTTAATGAATCGATTTACAAAACACCCTCAACACTGTCTTAATAGATAACTAAAATAAATTACAACCAGTTACAAGTGTACGTACTTATCAGCACTGTACATACTGTCACTAAATAGTATTATCAATAATTATAAATTAACTTAAAAATCATTAATTTAAGATTGAAAAACTAAAATGAGTTTTTATTTTTATTTTCTTGTGGGAATAAGAAACATTTGAAAAACCTGGCATTTTCAAATACAACGAAGAAAACTAAGAAAGAAAAGCTATTTTCATCAGGAGCTATTTACACGAATAAGTTAATAGTTACTTAATTATTATTTTGAATATTTAATTGGACCTTTAAGGAGATTAGTCGCAATACACATTTTTTTTTGTACTTTAATTTTCTTAGAAAAATGAAAACAGAGCAAGTATGTATATAAGGTTGTGGAAACCATAATATTTATTTATATTTTCAGTAAGAATTATACTCCGTAAGAACGTTCGATTTCCTTAAAGTTAAGTGGTAGCAATTATTGTATCACATTCATTATCGTCTTGAACAGAACTACATACAAACTATGTACCTACATAATAAATGCACTTAAATTATTGTGAATTTACGGCTTAATGATTTATTAAATAAGTAGTTATCATTGTTTGTTTATTATTGTGCTTACTCATAAGTTTAGACTTACGTTTAGTTGACAAACGGTAGGTATTTTATTATAGCAGGCAAGCAAATGGTTTAATAATTTTTCTGGTTTATATTTTTACAACTGGTATAACAGTAGTAATGTTTATATTTTCGGAGTGAAGGACATTGTTTGTGCACGTAGGTATGCAATGTAATTAAAAGTATAGACCACGTATTATATACCTACTGCAAACATAAAATGCAGTAACAACTGGTAACTTAAGCCAAAAGCAAAGTTATTTAAAGATTTGTTGGAAAACAAGCGACTACCTAAGAATATCCCTGACAAAAATGGTCGTTATCCGTTAGAGGTTTGGCGTAGAAAACAATTACGTAAAAGATAAAATTTCTAATAGATGCTTTTATTGAGGCGCTTTACAAAGCAGAAAGAATCAATCTTCCAAAGAGATGATAAAAAGCAGTAAAATTTTCGAAATTTAGATGATTCTGGAGCAAAAATTTACATATTTCCCTCCATCAAGAAATCAACCAAATAGTACAGACTGAATCTAATGAGGTTAACGTTGCAATTCTTACTTAACACACTTACTGGGCTCTCAACTGATAATGTGCCTATAGTGTTCACATACAAATTACAACATATTTACTGTTGCTATAGTTTATATTCCATCTGCCTTTTATCAATACGGACAGATGTACATTGACTCACTTTAATAATTCGAAACTGCGTTGGGTGAGTTCTGTCTTGTTTATTATCCCTCTCATAAGAACACTACGACGATATTAATTGGCCAGGATACATCTGGTATGCACAAGATAATAATCTTATCGCTTTTGGACATCATTCTCATCAAGCAGTGTTCAATCTACAACTCGTTTTGAATAGCCTGGAGTGTTTTCATGTAATGTCCGTACAATATTCTCCCACTGTTAATAGGGTTGATTTGGTTTTAACAAATTTGCCTAATTGTAGTTCTAGCAGCACTGCTGATCCATTTATAAAAGTTAATTATTATCATTATCTAAATGAGATAAGTATAAACAATTTTAATTGAACTTTTAATTTAAAAAAATGTTTAGATTTAATAAGGCTGTTTACTCAAAAACATGCTGATTTTGAAGTGACTGGAATTTTATTAAAAAGGATGTAGAACTGGATGATATTGTCCACACGTGGTGATTAATATTCCTTCCCTGTTTGGTTTAGTGGTCTTATTGCAAGTCCAGTCAAACGCAAGAAATAGTTGCATGCAATATAATGGTTTGATGAATGTAGTCTATTTAAATCTCAGAGAACTTATTGCAATCCATTAATTCCTCGAATGTGCTGATAATTTTGCACTGTTTTTTGCTGCTTTTTCAAGCAACACTCATTCAGTCCAAAATATGGGGGTAAAAACTCAATTTTCTTTTTCATTTAATTTGTATTGATTACACAGAAGCGTTCTTACGCATTGTTTCCCTACAAGCATTAGTGGCTGGTCCAGATAATATGCCTGTAATTTTTATAAAACAGTGTGCGAAGTGTTTGGTAAAACCATTAGCAAGGATTTTTGAATGACGTACCACTGATATAAAATATCTGACTGTTTAGAAATGTTTCTTTGTTACACCATTAATGAAAGATAGTGATTCGTTAAATACAGCTAACTACAGATCGATAGCAAGTATTTCAATTTTTGCCAAATTGTTTGATGCATTTGTTACCAAGCAATTATCTGAGTACTTCTATAGTTTAATTGATGTACATCAGCATGGCTTCGTGATGGGCAATCTACGGTCTTCAACCTGTAGAAAACCCTAAACTCATAACTACAGATATGTCGAAAGCCTTTGATTGTGTTAAGCATGACCTACTCCTCATGAAGCTGTCGAACTGTGGTGTAAAAGACCGATTATTAACCTGATATATTTCATATTTGATCAAAGGAATATCATTTGCGAAGTTGCATAGTTGCGATTGGAAAGAATATAAAAACATATCTGGAGTCCCACTGGGATCCCATTGTGGTCCATTATTATTCTAAATGTCATTAAGTATTTTCAGGCTTTTCTGAACGCAGATGACTTAAAAGTATCTGAAATATTTAAGAAAATCTAAGTACACTAAATAAATGGAGGAGTTTTAATATAACGAAATGTTTTGTCTTTCAATTTTACCGTGAAGGAATTGTCCTGAATTATGACTACACACTTAACGGTAAATCTCTTAAGCATGTGAAGTAAATTAAGGACCTAGCAGTAATCTTTGATAGTAGACTGAATTTGAAGAATATGTTTGTAATACTGCAAACGGAAGCCTTAGGTTCATATTATGACAATCAAATAAGTTCAAGAATATAAACTTGTCCTAGATCACTTACGGATAGACTATATATGTACATACGTTACACCCATATAAAAAAATAGTGTTTCTGAAATAAGTAGCAAGCTTTGGACGGTGTTAACTAGATGCAGCAAGGAATCGCATGGTGAGCAAAGCAGCGTAGTTCCAGGATAAAAGAAAATTGTAAGAAAACTAGACGAAATTGCAATCTGAAGTCAGCCCTAGGAATGAATTGGCAACGTACAGAGAAAATGCGATAACTAAGTAACTACATCCATGAGTAATGTAAACAATGACGATTGTGGAATGACTAATAATGTAAATATCGTGAGTTTACTACTACGCTACTTTAAATATTTAAATAATAATTTTTAAACATACATTGCGATAACAATTAATTAAATACCTTCTTTGTTCATCACTGATAGTATACAGTACCATGTACACCTCGAAATAATATTAATTAATAACAACATTAAAATCACAACTGTGAGGTATTGCTAAGGTGCGTTACCTTTTTTATGGGTGGTTCGCCAATAGCCCTATTCTTCCATTTGAAAAAATTAATTACAACACCAGTATACTCACACACGGAAAGGTACGCACGTATATTACAAAAATTATTTCTGAGTCGCGCAAAAACGTCCGACATATGGCATACTTCATTTGCAGCGATCATGTGTGGTAGGTAGTACAAATCATTAGCATTGTACAGTTTAAACACAAAAATACGTTTTTTTGCGAATAACTGTTTAAATTTTATTTGTACAGAGGGTGAAGAAGTTACAAAGTGTGCGATATAGTCTTGAAATGAGTAAAATTAAAAAGTAAATAGTTAACTAAATTTAGTAATAATGAGGAAGATGTTTGGTTACGTGACAGTATGATAACAACTACCTACCAAATTCGAGCCGAAATTACAATTTTTTTTCGCCATTTTGTATCCGACATTTTAAATTTCGCAAATCCGACATCAAATTCGTAATCAGCATACCCAAAAACTGATTTTCATGTTTTTTCATCAATTAATTTTCGAGATATACCTATTGTTCAGATAATAACTAATTTTGCAGTTTTTTGTTATTAATAAACAAAAAGAGATTTATCGTACAATATCAGCCAGTAGACTTTGAACTTTTAACTTGTTTAGAATATATTTCAAAAGTGCATTTTGATATAGTTACTAATTATTCTGAAACAATTCCTCCTTTTTGAATACGTTTACTTCTCTAATTAACCACAATTATATAATTCATGAAGACAAATATCAAATATTTTAGATAGGGGTTTTAACGATTTTGACGAACACTGCAATTTTAGTCATCCTTTCGAATTAAATGCACAGAGAATAATACAAAATGATTTTCAAACAATTTTAGTTCACAATGAAAACCGCATAATTCATAATGATGAATTCACGTTAGTAGTAAAAAGTAACCATAAAATCATCATATAATAAGTGTAATTCAAAAAATAATTGTCATTTGATTACTAGTTATTTATTGTTTATTGATATGTCAATAACCAAAACAATTCGGAGACCTGGAGACATATCGACTTAGAGTAGGACAGAATATGTGACACGTGTTGATAAAATTACACTATTTTGATGAATGTTAACAGTGATTGTTCTCAAGTCTGGACACGATACAGTAACCGTCAAAACAGCAACTGTGTAATAAAGTTAAAAACATTCACATTTAAGCGTGAGTTGTGTTAATTTTTCTATTTTGGATATTTATAAGTTTACGTTAGTGTTGTGTAGTGTCTTTTACAATACAGGCTACAACTATAAAGAATGGACATGTGCAAAACTTTTAAAGAACAAGTCGTCAGTAAGTACATTCTCCAATTTCAAGTTGAAGTAAGCAGTTTACTGTCCCAAAAAGGCTGGCGAAAAAAATCTTCAGAAACGTTCTATGGGAACACTCTGTATAGATAATATTTTATCAGTAATTTTTTTTTTCATGCATTGGTAAAACACGGCAGTGTAAATGAAGTAGGTCAAAGACATTTACGCACACATATGTGACTTGCTGAATTAACTTTTGTCATATGATCAAATGTAAACAAGGAACTATATATAGTCAGTGAATACTCGAATAAATGACTTTGATACAAGGACTCATCCTTACTAGATGCTGCAAAATATATCTAACCATCCTTCACTGATGAAAGTGTTCAACGTTACTATTAGTTAACCTTAAGCAGAAAAATCTGTTCTTGTCGAAACTAATAATCTACGTTAACCGCAATAATCAAATCAACTTCACTGGAGATCCCGACGTCATCGAAAAATAAACTACAGTTTCTTTTAGGAGATTTTCACAAACGACTTTAAAACGGAATTCAGTTAAAACGAAGGAATATTACTACAAAGAGTTGTAGAATAAGAGAATAATCCCCAATAACACCAAACATTGACAACACTAACAAGTAAAAAATGTTAAGAACGTAATTTTGTTATGTAAATGCATAATTTTTTTTCATTAAACCACAAAAGTGGCAGAGCAATGGTGCGCAAAGCCAGAAACCCGGGTTCGATTCCCGGCGAGAGCGTGCCAGCAGCAAAAAATTTTCCTCATTAATTTGAGATTATCATTAGTTGTTAAAAATTAATTCATTATGTAATTACATTAAATCTACAAAAATTCTTTTAAATACCTATTTCTAGTTGTTTTTTAAGTTACTTAAACAGGGTTTGTACTTTTAAGAGTAAATTTTCAGTGATGAGTAAGTACCATTTTGTAATAATTAATTAGTTGCAGTTAATCACTAATATTGAATATATGTCATTATTGGGTCATTAATAACAAACAGTAATAAAAAATTGTTGTAATGTCTCATTAACTTACTAAAAACTTCAAATGAATGCAAAAATTGTAAAATCGGTTATGAAAATCCTAAACAGCTAAAACCAGTTTCATAATTAGACAATAATTAACCATTGACAATGTAGACTACCAACCAGGAGATTCCAATCTTCTTTTTTTTCGAAATAGCGACATTGATATTGTCGGCCGACAACCGGTGTAATATCCACTGAGATTACAGTAGATTTTAAATCGGGCTTGAAAGCTACTGTATTTCGCAAATTTTACTCAAGAATAACTCCATTATGAAGAAAAAAACAGTTCGAAGAACTATTCACGCTTTTCCTAACTGATTTTACAATGTGTTTTGCTTGCGCGACTTATTTTTGGCTTTAGATGCTAATTTGCAAAATATTCATAGAAAGTTTCAAATCCGAATTAGAGTGCCTAATGTAACCTGAGTCGATATTGAGCAGTTAAAATTAGAAAATGGGGTTCTAACGATTTTGACGAACACTGCAATTTAACACAGAGAATAATACAAAATGATTTTCAAACAATTTTAGTTCACAATGGAAACCACATAATACATAATGACGAATTCACGTTAGTAGTAAAAAGTAACCATAAAAGCCATTTGAAAGAAAAAGTCGAACCCCTTGTATATAAGTACAAATAAGTACTGTTCATTTGTAACGAATAACTTTTTTAATTTTAATACACATATGTATATATACATACTTGTAAATAAATTTTCGAAAAAATAAAGTAAATTATTCGAGTTCATTACCTTCGAATATTTTTCCTTTTGACACGTCAAAATGATAAAAATTAAATCAACTGTTTTTGAATTAACA